CCTTGCCAACGTTCGGGGTCCCTGGTGACTGGAACAAATGTCCTCGTGGATTTCCTCCACGACTGCTACAGCTAGGTCCGGCGGTAAGCACCTAAGGTATGGTCCGCCAAACGTCTTTTTGTATAGTTCCCCACCGATAACCTCAAAACTCGCCGCCCGTCTTTTTTTCCACGGGGCCCTTCCGGAAGTTTGTCCGTCTTTATCAAGGGGGAGGGTTCCATCCCTAAGATAATCGGTTACCTCTTTTACCCAGCTGGGATCTGCAAAAGAAACAACATTTACCTGGATTGTCTCTGTTGCTGGTCGGAGTAGCATTTCCTGTATGCGAAGCTCCGGATGTGTCTGGGAATGAGCGGCGCCTGATCCTCGGATAGGGGGTTGCCTAGCTTAGATAGGATGTCAGCTTCGGCGTTCTCTACCCGAGGTACCAGGTCAATGATCACTTGCTCAAACTGCACAGTCTGCTCCTCTGCCAACTCACTGTAAGCTTTCATCCGCACCTTCAGACGAGCTGCACCGAGGGCCCTCGCGTATTTCATTCCTGCGATTAGCGCCTCGTACTCGGCCTCATTGTTGGTGACCTTGAACTCAAATTTCATGGAGTAATAAGCCTTGAAACCCTCGGGGGAAGTGATGACCCCCCACATCCCTTTGCGCTTGCTACCCTGTCGGTGTACATCTCCCACCAGTTGTCAAAGTCGTTGCTGCCGTACTTCCCATCCTCCGTACGTGTTGTGCATTCGGCAATGAAATCTGTCAGTGCCTGCCCCTTGATCGTCAGCCTTGGCTTAAATTCTATATTGTATTGCCCATCATCAAGGACCACTTGTTAATTCTCCCACTCGCCATCGGATTCCTGAGGATAGTGGCCAACGACTGAGTGGTGAACACCGTCACCAGGTGTGCTTGGAAATATAGTGCCAAGCGTTTTATTGACGCAATCAGGGCCAAGATCGTATTTTCCATCAGCGTGTACCTGGTCTCTGGGCCGTTCAGTGCCTTGCTTACGAAATATATAGGCCGTTGAACGCCATCGTCCTCTTTCAACAGGACGGAGCTTACTGCCAGATCGGCCACTGCCAAATACATGTACAGCTGCTCCCCGGGATCCGCTTTGGTAAGGACGAGCGACGAGGAGAGGTACGTCTTGAAATCCTTGAACGCTGTCTGACACTCCGGGGTGCATTCAAACGGATTGGCTTTCTTCATGATTTGGAATAAAGGGATTGCCCGATCAGCCAATTTCGACATTAATCTGCTCAGAGCCGCCAAGTGCCCAGTAAGCCTCTGCACATCCTTCAAATTTTTGGGGGCCTCCATATCCATGATGGCCTTTACCTTTTCTGGGTTGGGTTCAATTCCTCGTTCGCTCATCATGTAGCCAAGGAATTACCCCCCCCCCCCCCGGACGGCGAAAGCACACTTTTTTGGGTTCAACCTCATGTTTGCTCCTTCCATGATGGTGAAGACCCTCTCCATGTCCTGAACGTGGTCCTCCTCCTTCCTGCTCTTGATCAGGATATCATCCACGTACGCCTCCATGATTTTCCTGAGGTCGTCCTTGAATAATATCCCGATCATTATCTGGAAGGTGTCCATCGCGTTCCTCAAGCCGAACGGCATGACCACATAGCAATACACCCCATCTGATGTGACGAAGGCAGTCTTTTCAGCATCGTCCGGATGCATGAACACTTGATGATACCCCCTGCAAGCATCCATGAAATTGAGCAGCTCGCACCCTGCGGTTTCATCCACCAATAGATCGATCCTCAGCACCGGGTAGGGGTCCATTGGTCAAGCTTTATTGAGATCGGAGTAATCGACGCACATCCGCCATGTGGGCCCCTTGGGTGCTAGGACGACGTTTGACAGTCACTCCACATGCATAACATGCCGAATGTGGTGTATGTTGAGCAGGGTAGTGACCTCAACGTCATGGGGATCGTCGCCCGATGCTCGCCATCCCTGATCTCCACTGGCAGGACGATCGTTCCTTCCGCATCAATGTTGTGGCCGGTGAAACCAGCCAGGGGTGTTCATAGGGGGCTCATATCAGCCCTGCTCAGATGCATCTTCTCCAATACGTCCCAGTATAGGACATTGACACTGCTTCCTATATCAACCAGGACTCGTTGGATTATCCACTCCCGGATATCCATGTTGATTACCAGTTCATCCTTGTGCGGTCCTGGGGACTGTGGCAGATCCGCTGGTCCAAACATAATAGTTTCGGCCTTATGCTTCTTGGCAGGAGGTGTGGAGATGGATTTTATCCGGAGGGCCCTCTCGAATTTCTTCCTCTCCGCCGGGGTATCCCCAGTTTCCGCCCCTCCGAAGATCATTTTGATTTCCATTTTATTCTTGGTGTCGACCGGTCCGAGTGATGCCTCTGGTCGCTTGCCGCTATGACGGAAGTCCTCCTCCTTGACCCCAGCCTCCCACCGATCATCCCGGCGCCAGCTGTAGGGCCTCCTGTGCTGTTGCGATGGGCTTTGGGACGCTCCTCCCGCGGTGAACTCACCCAGGTAACCCCTCTCAATGAGTTGCTGGATGGCGTACTTCAGACTTTGTCAGTCATCCGTACGGTGCCCCTGCTTACGATGATATTCGCAGTAGGCTCCCATGTCCCGACCCATCATGTGCCCCTTGGTGGGTACCGGTTCCTTGAGCAGCCCTTTGTCCTTGATAGCCCCGAAAATCTCGCTGATGGGGTAGGCCAAAGGAGCAAGCCCTGCATCCATGCGAAGATTGTCCCCCGGGCCTTCCTGTGCGGCCCAAGAAACGTAACCACCGATCGTCTTCTTCCTTTAAGATGCTGGTGAATCCACCGACCCGGGACCCAATCAGTCCGATATCTTGCGTGTTGCGGGGGTCGCTGCTCCGTCCTGCTGCAAAATCTCCTCCTCGATGGCAGCGAACTTATGTGCACGAGCCAGTAATTCACCATAGTTACTCCCAAGGTTCCTTTTTAGGTCCAGATAGAGGTCCCCATTAGCCAGCGCATTAGTGAAGATGGTGATGCCGGTGCTCTCCGGAAGATCCTCCACCTTCAGGGTCTCATCACTCCACTTAATGAGGAAAGCGGATAGGGATTCTCCCTTATTCTGACGGGCATTCGTCAACCAGCTGAAATGTTTCTTGGGCGTGGAGCTCGATGCGAACTGAGCCATGAACTGTCGGGATAATTGTTCAAAGTTATCGATCGATCCGGGCCTGAGCTGCCCGAACCATTCCCTCGCTGGTCCTCTGAGGGTGCTGAAGAAAAGCCTGCAGACGGCCTCGTCGGAGGCTCCCAGCATAGAGAGCGTCCCTTGGTAAGATAGTAGATGGGCCTTGGGGTCCCTGGCCCCATCATAAATCAGAGTTCTAGGAGGCCGGACGTCCCTTGAGATGTCCACTTCCATTACCCTGGCAGAGAAAAGGGGTGAAAGTGCAATCCTGGGCTGCGCCGGCATATTCTTTGTACGTCGGTTCAGTTCATTTATCTGCCTCTGCATCTCCATGAGTATGGCATCCCGAGGATCGGTTGCAGAGGGTGTGGGGTTTACTACCGCCAAGGTGTTTCCCCTCGGCGCGATCCCGAAGTTATGTTGCCCATGGTGGATCCGGGCCTCTGCCATCATGCCATCCATCACGGGAGTGTGCTCCCTGGCCGCTCGTCCATTACGGGGCATGACTCGCGTGGGGTCCTGGATCGTGTGACGCTGCGTTCCCCCGAAGGGCCCGGCTCCTCCGGCGCCCCCATGTCCGGAGATTAGATATTCTGAGTGATCCTGGAATGGACCGAGCGGCGGGAATGGTTATTTTCACCGGTACGCTCTGCGAAAGATTGCATAGGGTGGATAGGTGAGAGCGGGGTCCGCTCAGTGTTGGCGGTATGTATGTGCTCCACCTCGCGTTGGTCTGCCAGTCGGCGGATGGTGTCTGCGATTTCTCGTAGTGCGTCGGGGTCCCTCCGGAGCTCCTGGGGGATCAGGTCAGTGAGCATCCCGAAGTCCCCCCGGCTCCACAGGCTGCTGGACTGAGCCCCCGCCGCATGGTTGCGGCTTCTCCTACTGTGAGCCAATCGGGAAGAGAGGTTTTGAGAGTTCCCTGCATTGTTGGTAGTCATCTTACTTGCTTTTAATTGTCTTAGAGTTTTTTAATTGGAGAACTTAGTCGGAAGAACTTTTTGATCAGTTTCCCACAGACGACGCCAGTGTTGAGGTTTATTCCCTCAACCCGTAGGCCCAACACGTAACCTAGGGTTTTCAAATGGGTGAAGAACAAATAAGATCAATAAACAACAGGGAAATGGGCCAACAATCGTATTTTAATCACTCAAACGATTACAAGCCGAAGGGCCGAACGCACTATGCTTATGCTATGAGCTGTTATTGCTGCTATAATGCTAGAGTCAAAGTGCGAACCCTTTACAATGAAATAAATGCGATTGTTTATACCATCCATGGGTGGTTGGGGGTGCTGACGTGGTTGGCTGTGGGTGACATGATCCCAACCACCAAATCTCCCGCATTTAATGCGTTTCCCACCAGGATCTCGGTTTTCCGCCATGGTGTGGGGACGTTCGTCCCTCAGGGCTGGACCCAATCTGCTGGTGGCAGCCTGATCCCCATGGTGAGAGCTATGAGACGTACGTCCCCTGGCCCTTGGGCCCTGAAACTGGGGTATGTTGGACTATGTATGTCACGCCCCGGACCGCATCCGAGCCACGTAGACAACCACCGTACAACCCGATAAGAACAACAACAGTTCATCCCTATTGAATTGAACAAGGCGTCCGATTGATTCTATTGCCAAACCGATTAGTAAACACATATAATCAACATCAATATCATAATCAAACAAATGCGGAAATAATAATATGTTTGATACTTAGCCACACGTGGCAAACACGGGCACGCAGGCCCCAACTGTTTTAAGGAAAACACTGTTCAAAAATCTATGAGCGGTTTATAAATTTCAAATACGAATGGAAGCACGAACCACATCTTCCTCCTTGATTTCCACCACCATATACATATTATCTAGTCCAAGATTATTATAATATGTGGTCCCGATAATATCGGGCGGCCCCACTTCCGGTGTGGGTCCCACATGAATTTTACTATTCACGTAAAAGAAATGATAGAAATTTACAATTACGTAAAAATGCTTTTATTTATTTCCCAGGGTTCAATACATAATTTGATAAGGTACAATTACTTGGGGGCGGTGTTACAAGTTCTACCCCCCTTATTTGGGATTTCGTCCCCGAAATCCACGTGTCTAATCAAACAGAAATGGATATTGTTCCCTCATCAAGGTCTCCACTTCCCAAGTTTGCTCCTCGATTCGATCACTCTTCCAAAATACCTTTACCATTGACACCTCTTTTCTCCTTAGCTTCTTCACCTGTCGGTCTATGATCTTTACCGACTTCACCGAAACTATGTATTAGAATTTTCCTTTGTAAAGCTCTTGAAGGTCTTCTGTCAAGTCGAATACATCTAAGAACTTTACAAAGGAAAATTCTAATACATAGTTTCTAAAGAGGTACTCTACAGTCCTAATTAATATAGCATCATCAAAATCTAAATACAATTATTCCTTACAATTTCCCCCTTTTTGATGATGTCAAAACCCTTTAACTATTTCCAGAGAAGTGCCTTCACCATAAAAAAATATTAAGTTTAAAAACTTCCATTAAAATCTTGGTGGGCAACTTGGCATAGGAAAATAGTAAGAGTACGATACATTCAGATAGCAGAATATAACAGAAATAAACAAACAGAAGGCAAAAAGACAAGAATTTGAGGAAAAGCACTTCAAAGTAAGAAGGCAAAGATGTGATTTTATTAGATAAGTTTTACAGAGTTTAAACCTTACACATTCTCCAGGTTAGCTGCCTGTAGAGCTTCTTCCTCTAGTCTTTGAAGCCTGAGCAGTTCTTCATTTATTTCAGCTCTGATTTTGAACAGATTGCCAGACCTTTGATAAGATGCCCATATTGGAGAAAGCTTACAGTCCAAATAGTTGAGGACACCTTCATGTATGGTCTTTCCTGGGACAATGTTCTTCTTGTATCATTCTTCTGCTTCTTCAAGAGATCCTCCATACCTAACTCTGACAACACCATCTTTGTCCAGATAGAGGTGCTGTTGTTGGGTAGGAGTCATTTTAGCCTTCATCTCCTCAAATTGAGCTCTGTCAATGTTCTGAGAGCCACCCAATCTCCACTCAGTGAAGTTGAAAACTTTCTTCTTCTTGGTGCTCTTCTTTACTGGAGATGGGGGTCTAGGTATGCCTGCTGCTCTCTTCTTTTGGAGGGCAGCTTCAAAATAGGGAGCCGGATCTACTGCAGGCTCACCAGAGGAGGGTGCTCTGGTAGGAGTTCTGTGAGACCTAGGCCTGGTCTGTTGAGGGTCCTCTTCCCCCTTTTTGGCATCATGCAGATCTTCAATCATAAGACTGATCTTCTGGAATTCTGAGGCCTGGGTTGAGGCTATCTGCTCCAGGGCCTCTGGTAGTGTCTGGGTGACAGAGGTAAGGCCTTCAATCAGACCTTGCTGCTTCTGTATTGCAGAGAAGATGTCCTTGTTATTGGCTTCAAGGAGCACCATCTTCTGATACCGGTCTCTGTCAGTGGACAGAAGGGCTTGAGCCTGTTCTTGATGAGCTCTGCACATTTGCTCAATAGAGGTCAGGTGCCTCTCTGTTCTGGCATCAGATGTCTTCAGAGCCTCAAGATGCTCTGAGATAGTGTGGATTGCCTGTCCTTGACTCAGGAGAGTCTGTTGAAAGATAGAGAGGGTTTTGTGGATGCCTACCACTTCTGTTGACAGGACATCTGTTCTGGCAGAGGAGGAGGCGATGAAGTTGTTGAGTGTCCCAGTGAGGTTCTCAAAGCGGTCAGAGATGAACTGCATACCTGAATTCAGATTATCATTCACATGAGCAAGATGCCCATAGTGTTTATCATTTATCTCTATCAGCTTGTTCATGCCTTGGAGGATCTGTCCACCAAAGTCTTCTGCAGATTCAACAAATTTGTTGAAGGGAATGTTATTCTGTTGTCCATCTGCTTGAGGCATCTCTAGACCTCTTCCCCTAGGTAGTGGGTGATGTTCTTGGACAGATGATAGAGAATGGACAAGCTGTTCATGTTCCAGTTGAGTCAGAGGAGGGGTCTTCTGTCTCTTGGATGTGGCCTTGTAGGATTTGCTGATCATGAATCCATCCATGTCAGAGGAAATCTCATAAGGAGAGTAGATAGGTTTTCTGTTGCGAACCACCTTCTTTTTCTTTCTCAGAGAGGGATTGGGGGCAACAGATTCCCTAGAATACCCTTTGGGTGCAGAGATGGGAGAGACAGTTGTAGGATCTGAGTCTCTGAGAAACCATACAGGTTTAAGGTTTTCTGCAGGTTGTTGTGGAGGTGAAGATTCTGGAGGAGGAGATTGAGGGTCAGATTCAGAGGATGAAGAGGATATCTGTTGGGGTGAGGGGTTCTGGTGCTGGGGTGAGGATTGAATAGGTGAGGCAATCTGTTGAGGGGGAGATGGGGGAGGTGAAGGTGAGCGGTTTCTGTAGGGAACAATTGCTCTACAGGGTGATGCAGTTTTCTGTTTGGGTGATTGAGGAGGGGTGGGGGTGTTCTGTTCAGGAGATTTAGGTTGAGGGTGTTCTGGTGGAGGGGTTTCTGTGCTGGTGGTAGGTGAGGGAATGAGGGGTTCTGTTGGGATAATAACAGAAGGGGTTGGAGAGTTTACCTCAATGATGTTATCCACGAGCAAGGAAGTCCTCCACTCCTTGATATGCTCCATCATAGCTTGTCCTTCTGACTTGAGTACAGAGGACTCTCCTGGGTTGAAGTTGGGCTGTACAGAGTCAGTTGCCATTTTGGTGAACAACCATTCTTCAAAGGCTGCAATTTCTCCATCTTCTAGAGGTTTGACAGCTTCCTCCGAGGGTGAAGAAATGAGAATAGCCTTTCCCTTGTAGCTTGCCTTCTTCTTCTCAAGGTCAGAGTGAAGAAAGTTGAGGGCAAAGCACTTTGAGACATCATCAGTTCCAACCCAATTCAGGATGGCTTCTTCTTCTGCCTCATAGTGATCAAAAAACTGAATTATTTTGTGGAGGGGTCCCATTCTCCATCTTCTCCATTCAAGGACCCGGGTAAACTGTCTGTCAAGCAAGGACAGATACCCATCTTTGATAGGACTAGGGTGCTCTGGTGGAGTTGGCACCCTGTTCTGTTCAGGAGATGCAGCAGAGGTGGGGATCTCTGGTTCCCCCTAAGTGTCTGCCACTCCTTCAGACACAGAAACCACAGGTTTAGCAACCTTCTTCTTGGGTTTGGTGGTCCTCTTCCTCTTCTGTCCGGCCTTAGGGGGGGCAACAGGTGCTTCCCCTTCAGTCTTCTTCTTCTTCTTCTTCTTTTCAGCCTTTGGAGGAGCAACAGGTGCTTCCCCTTCAGTCTTCTTCTTCTTTTCAGCAGAAGGGGCTACAGAGAGAGGTTTCTGTACCTTCTCTCCTTGTTGTCTTTTAGCCTCAAGTTGAAGCTGTCTCTTCAGTTCTGCCTTTATGGCTTTCTCCCTATTTGGGGATGCAGTCAGAAAGATTACCTTGGTGTGATCCAAAGCTGAAGCCTTCCTCAAGTTTACCCCTTGTTTGAGGAGCACTTCTGAAATGAGCAGTCCATGCCCTAGCTTCCCAGAATAGAGGCTAGTCTTTGGATTCTTCTTCTTGATCACTTCAATCAGGGACTTCACCATGACTTGTCCCCAATTGATGTTTACCCCATGATGCACTGCATAAAGGGCCTTTGCATTGGCAGTTGTGACATCATCTGTGGAGGTGTACTTGCACCATAAACATTTGTGGAAGATGTTTATGAGCAGCTCAAATTCCCTCTTGAGCAGGTTCTTCTTGATGTTGACCTTCTCTACCTCTTCACCTTTTCTGCAGAACTTCTTCTTGAATTCTGGCAGAGGGATGTCAGTATCCTCCAAATCAAGTATAGAGGTCCTGTCTTCCTCTAGTTGGATATTGAAGATGTTGTTGATGACGTCAGCATCAATCAAAACTTCTTCTCCTTGGACGACGGAGGAGATGGTTTCATCCTTGAAGGATGCGTTGAGATAGAACTCAACAGTGTCAATGTTGCTGTAGGCCTCATAATCATGAGTGATGACCTTGCTCAGTTGACATTGTGACAGTCCGTCAACAATGGAGGTCATCCTCTCCTTATTCTCTGCGAACCTGGGCAGTACTTCCAGTTCGCATCTCATCCCTGTCAGTACATTCTTCAGGAGAGTTGCCTTTTGTTCCTTTGAAAGACCGGAGAAGCTCAGGAAGGCCATGGAGTTTATTGCGGTTAGAGAGTTTTGGAGAGATAAGAGTTCAAAAGCTTGAGAGTTATGAGAGCAGTAACGGTTTAGGTTTGCGAAAGAGGATTTTATGGATATGGGTTAGTGGACGTTTGAGATAATTTACGGTTCCAAGATACCAATAAATGTAAAAAGGGGCGCAGTAAATAAACGGGGGCGCAGTAAATATTATACGGCTGGATACCGTTTTAAGGGTAAAAGGGTAAAAGACCTTTAATAATTTACTAGGTCACCCGGTTTACAAGATTTTCTAAGTCCACCACCTTCTGTTAGACAAGAGAGGGTTCTCTGTAGAAAGGGTTTCTGTTGCATAGGTGTTCTGCCAGGGTAGAGAACAGAAGGGGTTAACAGAAGGGGTTCTTCAACAGGTGTTCTGTTAACAGGAATTCAGCAACAGAGGGCCTTTCTTTTCATCTTTCCTTTGGAATCTCATCCATCATTCCCAATTCTTCTCTCAGTTTGTTGAACCTAGCCTCAGGAAGAGGCTTTGTCAGGATATCTGCAAGCTGGTCTTCTGTTGGCACATGTTCCATGCAGATGTGCTTCTTCTCCACATGATCTCTGATGAAGTGATGTCTGATCTCAATATGCTTTGTTCTGGAATGAAGAACTGGATTCTGAGTGATAGCAATGGCACTGGTGTTGTCACACAACAGCTTGATCTCCTTTGCTTGAATTCCATAGTCCTTCAGTTGTTGCTTCATCCAGAGTAGTTGAGCACAGCAACTCCCAGCTGCAATGTACTCTGCCTCAGCTGTACTTGTTGAGATGGTGTTCTGCTTCTTGCTAAACCAGGAAACAAGCCTTCCTCCTAGCAATTGGCAGTGACCAGAGGTGCTCTTTCTGTCTAGTCTACAACCTGCAAAATCTGAGTCAGAATAACCAATTAGTTCAAAGTTACCTCCCTTTGGATACCATAGGCCTGCATTTGGATTCCCTTTGATGTATCTGATGATTCTCTTTGCAGCACTTAGATGGCTTTCCTTGGGCTTTGATTGGTATCTGGCACAGATTCCAACAGAGAATGAGATGTCTGGTCTGCTTGCAGTTAGATACAACAGAGATCCTATGATTCCTCTATATGTTGTTGCATCTACATCCTTTCCTTCATCATCTGGACCAATTCCTTGTGAAGTGTTCATGGGAATCTTCACTGATGATTTGCCTTCCACTCCAAACTTCTTGATTAGATCTCTGGTGTACTTCCCTTGATTGATAAAGATCCCTTCTGGAACTTGTTTGACTTGAAGTCCTAGGAAGTAACTGAGTTCTCCCATCATACTCATTTCAAATTGACTCTGCATCACTTGAGAAAATTTCTTGCACAGTTCTGGATTAGTACTTCCAAATATAATGTCATCAACATATATTTGTACTAACAGAATATGATTAGCAACAGAGATTTGAAATAGAGTTTTGTCAACCTTTCCTTTAGTAAACCCATGGTTCACTAGGAAAAGGGACAATGTGTCATACCAGGCTCTGGGAGCTTGCTTAAGACCATAGAGGGCCTTTTTAAGCTTGTAGACACAAGAAGATTGAGTAGGAATAACAAAACCTGGTGGTTGTTCCACATAAACTTCCTCTTCAAGATCTCCATTTAGAAATGCACTCTTGACATCCATCTGGTAGACCTTGATGTTGTTGTAGGCAGCATAGGCTAGAAAGATTCTGATGGCTTCAAGTCTGGCAACTGGTGCAAAAGTCTCATCAAAATCTATTCCTTCTTCTTGACAATATCCTTTAGCTACTAGCCTTGCTTTGTTCCTTACAATGTTGCCATCTTCATCTGCTTTGTTCTTGAATACCCATTTGGTTCCAATGACATTCTGGTGTTTTGGCCTAGGAACAAGTTCCCATACTTTGTTCCTCTCAAACTGAGTGAGCTCCTCTTGCATAGCATTGATCCAATCTGAGTCTGCAAGAGCTTCTTCAACTGTCATAGGTTCCATCTGAGATATATAGCAGGCAAGCATTGCTTCTCTCCTTGATGTGGATCTGGTTTGAACTCCACTTCTGATTTGACCAATCACTTGGTTAGGAGGATGGTCTCTTAACCATGTTAGATCTGGTTCTGTCAGCTGCTGTCTTGGTCTCTCTGGTTCCTCATCTTCAGAGTCTTCATCTTCATTCAACAGAAGGGGGTTTGGTGCAGGTGTTGGAAATGCAGGGTTGTCTGCCACCTCTTCTGTTGTTTATGGTGTTCTGTCTTCTATGCTGACTTCCTTGAGAATCTCTGTTACCTCTTTAACAGAGGTGCTTTCATCAAACTTCACATGTATGGATTCTTCAACATGTAGGGTCCTTCTGTTGAGTACTCTATAGGCTTTATTGGTGTTTGAATAGCCTATAAAGACTCCTTCATCA